CCTTTTCAGAAGCTTATCAAAGTGTGATGAGGGGTTCCAGTCATCCTGAAATAAATCAGCTAATTAAATTAATTTTATCTCAGGTATACTGCTTAGTCCAATTAAGTTACTAAGCCAATCACATCAGAATAAATCAACCATATTGTTACATAATTCTTTTTAATAAACAGAGTTACAATTATGTGAAGGCAATTCTGAGGATACCATATGCTACAAAGCAGGAAACCTAATTTATTTCCCTGATTTGGAGAGACAAACTCACTCATGTGTAATAACTTTTATCATCCAAAATTTTAATTCTTATTGCATTATAATGTTTACAGTCTCTTGCTTGCTTTATGGATCACAGTAAGAATTAGTTCACAATGGGGCTTGAGGGGGAAAGGCAGAAAATGTAATAGATATGAAATGATGAGCATGAAGCCACGCTGCAAATTCAGCTACGGCAGTGCTGGAAACAAAGTGCTGATTCCTCCCATACTTTTGAACAGACAATATACATCAAGAAGTGAGTGGGGTTTGGGGGGGATCCCCCTTGAAATAGATCCTTAGAGTGAAGAACCACATTGGGACATTCCCTTGCTTCTCCCCTCCCCCCTCCACATTTTCCTGGCAAGGAATAGTTGTTATGTCAACTCTTGGTGAAAATGACTTACATTAAAATAGAACAGAACAGAAATCTGCTTAACAGATCTGAGAAAGGGAATGGAAACGCCTTTGTTTGACAACTTGGTCTGATGCTCCATGAACGCCATTGACAGGTTGGCTTTGTTCTGGATGGGGAGGAGTGAGGCCAGCAGAGGGAATGAGTCCTGGCGGCATGACGTTCAGAAGCAGCCCAGTGGTGCTGGCAGAGCCAAGGACACTGATGGCCCAGGAGATGGAGAACCACGCACATGCTTATTCATTCACTCAGACGGGCATGAGGACTGCGGAGCTCAGAAACACTGGGAGAAAAGTTAGGTCAGAGTCCCTGAGAGCCACCTTTGCTTGCCTTCTCTTTGAAGTCATTTTCAAAGATGCTAGAAAAGTAGGGAATTGTCCCCCCATTTTTCTGATCTTTCTCACTAATGAAATTCTGAAATTGTATGATCTAAATTTTAATGATTTTTGGAAGAGATCAACAAGTAAGACTTTTTCTCAATTGGGACTGAAACCTCTTGTCATCTAGCTTGTCTGTCTGCAGAGATAGTACCACTCAAAAGTTCCCTGGAGGCCTAAAGTGAAAGAACCTAGTGCAAATGTCCTAACTTAAAAAAAATTATCTAGATGACAGCCACAGAAGTAGCAAAAAATTGACATGAGGGCAAGGTACTTAGTGGATTAGGTACTTTCTGTGGTAATTACCATCCAATTCTATTCTGGATTGCTGCAAGAAATGACTGGGTGTCAACTCTATTTATTCCTATTTCCTTCTTGACTTTATATAATTAACTAGATGCAGAACAGACAGAAGGAGAGCATCCCCAAAGCAGAAAGAAAGCCTTGTATTGCCCTCTATTTGGGCATTAATGGGGAGAACGTTACCATGGCAAAATGCACCATTGCTAATTCATGGTTACATCCTCTACAGAAGCTGGCATATTGCTCTCTATTTAGTGGGCCTGCAAAGTCAGTCCCATGCCATCATTAGCCCATAATTCTAGCCAACTGTCAGCATTCCAAATGAAAGAGATCAGCACAAAATTTGGCTCAAATTGAACCCATTCATTACTGAGGTATTAATCCCAGGAATAATGCATCTTAGGCTCAGAATTCAAATTGTTTTATTCATCCTCAACGACTTCAGAGCTGGGTGTCTGACAGCCCACAGATGTGAGATGCCCCTGAGCTAATACTTGACTCTATCTTCAGGTGCTCCTTTGTGATTAGGGGCTGGAGTCTTGGGGAAGGGGTGGATTTTTTCTGGACCCTACCTAAGTTCAAATATTGAGGAGTCATGGGATGAAGTGAGGCTTTTTAATAGAGCATACTGAAAGAAACAGTGGCTGCTTTTGATAATGAAAAGATGAATTTGGGTCTCATGGGAACATATCAGTACATTTTTGACAGGAATTTTCTCACTAATATTAGTGTTGAATATTCATTTCAAAAAACTCTGACACGATTAGAGAGTCAGAGGAGATGAGATTCAAGGTTTCTCCGCATGGTTCCCAGCATGCTATGACTGTGACGGGAGAGTGTGTAAGACACCAGTGGACACACAGATGAGCAATACAGATCTCCACTAGGTGAAGCGATATGCTCTCCTAGCAAGCAGGTACCCCTTTACTGTTGGGCCTGGAGCAAGTCAGCTTTATTTGATGAGCCCAAGTACAAAGAAATGGTGACCTAATTTAAATTCTGACTCAGTTTTGCAAAGTCAGCAAAGCGTTTTGAACCTCAGGTTCCAAAGGTATCCAGGAGGCATGGAGACGAACTTGAACAGGATGGATTATATCACAATAGAGATATGGTAGTGATAAAAAATGACAAATATTGCTTGGTCTCTGATACGGCAAATCCAAACAGCAACAATAATTTTATCATGTTTTCCTTTCTTACTCCATTTGTATTGGTATAATTTAGTGAGTTTATTTCTTATTTGTAGGACTATTCCCTCTGGTAAGTATTTGTAACTCACATTTCAAAAAAGTGACTAAAAGAAAGCATCCTCAAATGTATTTTGAGAGAGTTATGGCAGTGCCAAACTAGTTATTTTGATTGTTTGTGACTAAGGCAGTTAGTCTTCATTGATTGAATAATATTTCCTAAAGGAAGGAGAATGGATTTACATATGCTGCAAGCTGTCTCTGAAGACATGGACAGTCATTTGGGCAGTAGTCATTTCCAGTCAAAAAAGACTGAAATTAATGTCCATTGACTGGTGAATGTATAAACAAATGATACATCGATATAATAGAATATCATTCAGTCATAAAAAAGGATGAAGCACTGATATTTGCTATAACAGGGATTAACCTTGAAAACATATTCTAAGTGAAAGAAGCCAGTTGCAAATGGCCACAATTTATATGACTCCATTTGTATGAAATGTCTAGAATAGGCAAATTCACAGAGAAGCAAATTATAAGTTGTTTAGGATTGGAGGAGTTGGGGAGGGGATAACCAATGACCACTAATGCATATGGGATTCTTTTTAGGGTGATAAAACATTCTAAAAATTAGATAGTAGTGATGGTTGTATAACTCTGTGACTATACTAAAACCCACTGAACAATAGTATACTTTGAAAGGGTCAATTTTGTGGTCTGTGAATTATATCCCTATGAAACATAAAAATGACTGAAGCTACCCTGTTATTTTATTTTTTTGCCATTTAAATATCCTGCTTTAAGAAGAGTACTAGTAGAAGGGTGACCTTGCTGTAATAAAAGATGCATGTTTTCAGGAAGCATAAGACTATGGATTTGTTGTGACAATTAGAAAGTAGGGCTTTCTTGGAAGATTTTTATCTTCATATATAAAATAGGCAACAGGATTTGTCTTCTAGTATAGATAAATAAGCTTTAAATTGAAGACTGGCTCAATAATGGTTTCTTTTTTGTCGAAAGAAAGAAAAGTGAAAAGAAAAAAAGACAAAAAAAAAAACAAGGCTTTCTCAGAGGGAGGGAAGGAGATGAGTAATTTATCGTTGCCTTTGTTGGGGGTCCTACTATTTCACGTTAGTCTTTAGAGGCTTGTATAACCTGACTGTTCTGCCAGTGTTCAAAACCACCTCATCGACTAATCTTTTCTCTCACTGGCTCACTGATCTGGCACTGGGGAGGTGTCCACGGGACCCTCCCTACAGTTACTGCCGCCCTGAACCTGCTCCTCCTTGCTGTTATCTTCCTTAGGTCTCCCCCTCCTTCCTCTTCTTGCACCTCTCTTGCTTAACCAAGCAGCTGGGACAAGGGACAAGCTTCATGGTTACTCCCTCCTGAGCACAGCTCTGGGCCTCCAGGCCTGCCTCTCGCACAGCTCTTCCTGGCTCTGGCCCCACCATGTAAGGACCTCTGTGCCTGGTTCCCTTCTTCTCAGATTGGGTGGAGTACCTCTGAGTGCACACCACTGCTTCCAGAGGCTTCTTCCCATCTCCCTGCCCATACGCAATGGACGATTCAGTGGCCACATGTCCCTGGAAAGTCCAGGGCTCTTGGCCTTTAGGGTGTGAGTGGGAAAATGCATGCCCAGCTGTCACCTTTTAACTGTTGCTGGCAAAGCTAAGGAACAGCTGGAGCAGCTGTGATGCCTCTCTTCTCTCCAGCTCAGCTTATTGCCTTCGCCTTTCCTGCCTTAGACTTGTTTGTACCTCCACACCTTTCCTGGTTTTTACTCCTTTTGCCCTCAGGCCCTTTTTGCTCCCATTTTGGTTTCTGGGCTAGTTTCTCTTGGATGATTTGAACAGCTTCCCTCTGACATGATTTTTAAGGTCAGGTGAATGGGTCTGGAATGAGATGCCATGGATGCTTTCAAGGCTTTGCCATTTGCCAGGACAAGTTACTGCACGTTTTCATCCATCTGTTTTACAGATGCTGTTATATGCCTGGTACCATGCTAGGTGCTATGGACAGTGCAGTGTGTCAGCAAAGAAGAGGAATGACAACAATCAATGTTTGTTTAACCTCACAGCCTGCTTCCTCATCTGTACTTCAGGAATGAAATGGTTATATCAGTCTCAGAGGACTGTTGGAAAGCTCTTAGCATAGTGTTTGAAAGTGAGCACTCCTTAAAAGTTAGCTCGGTATGATCATTTACATCCTGCACAGGCCCTCATTGCAGGAGGCATCCTGTTGCACAACAGGGCCACTTTCTGGGCACCTCCCCATCGTGGTCCAATTGTGGACAAGAACCATAGTACAAATAAAGAAAAGGTGTGCAAACATCATGGTACCTTCTACAAGGATTTATTACTTTAATGAATAGAAATGGGCTAGAAATGGAAAATGCCTGAATTTGAGATTTACACACATACCATATATATTTATGTACTATGGAAGATGCATTTATTATTACAGGAAGAAGAACTTGCCATATCTAAACAGCGGAAATGGAACTTCTACTTCCTTACAATTGGATTTACTTTTGAAATCAAAGATGGCACATTACTGAAAACCTAAGAAGAGGAGTCAATATGCAATACAGAGCCTTGGAGTTATCCTGAGGATGGCATTTTCTTAAAAACAAAATCATGCATTGTGGTCAGCAAGGTTAAGGGCTGTTCTGAGATATATAATAGAATGGAATAAAAGAAAACAGTTTTGCATTCTTGCTTCTACATTTCTTACCAAGAGACTAAAATTTCTTATGACTTAGGTCATCTAGTCTTAAATTTTAGATTTGATTAGTAATGGTATCATTAATGATAATGTCTTATATATTCCTTTATTGCTATCACAACTTTCCTATACCTTGTCTTATATTATCAATATGTTTTTGAATTTTCTAATGATGGATCCCAAACATATAGGATATTCAAAGAAAAACTTTTTATAAAAAAATCAGAAAATGTAATACAAGTTCAAGAATTAGAGTTTTCTCTATACCTTATCTTTCATCTACTTCTTTATTCCAGGCAGAATTCTTCTCAGTTTTAAAAATAAAACAGCAAAAACATTTAAGATTTTGAGAAAAGTTGCTTAAACTGCAGAGACAAAAAAAGAGTGACAATTTTAAATCACAAATAGTTAAGGGTACAGTTTATAATGTTGGGATAAAATAATAAATTCCACTGGCATGAAATATTTTTCTTATGAAAATACCACAGTCTAAGTTTTGTTCCTCATAAGGGATAAATTTAAATGAGCACACATTCATCTACCAACTTAATTTAAGACCAGTGCGAGCATTTCCTGGCATCTAAATCAAACCACTAACAGGGAGTGTGTTGCTTAGATAAGGAACTTGTTTTGGTTTTCATTTCAAAAGATGCTTAGAAGTCAAGTTGAAACCAGGAACACAAGCCACAGGTGTCTATTACCGATGAATCTCAGGGAAGACAGGGGAATGGTAGGCATTTCATTGATTAGGAGTCATTTCAGTTTAAACATTTTTCCTCTTGTTCTCACACAGAAAATACACAAGTGATACACATATAATGATATTAGGGTGACACAAGGTTCCTATAGGATGAAAATAATAATGCTATCTTTTGTTGCATCCAAAATGCAAGTCTTTTTGTTTTCTTCTTTTGCATGGTGAAGATGGAAATGATGTTTCTTTTTAGAGTTCACCGTTTACTATGAAAAGAAGCATTTTGTGAATGTGAAAGCTATCCATGTATTATTATGCTTTTAGTCTCTCTCAGGGAGTAAAAAAAAACTTGGAATATATGCAAATGATTTAATTCTAAACATTAATATATAGTCCAAATTCAGCCAATGATATAAGCAAATGTAGAATTAACTAATTCATCATTTTTGGATATTAAAAATAAAAACTCATGAAATAAAAAAATCTGTCTAGAATATATTTTAGATATCACAAACAGCACGGATCTAGTCCAGCAAGTGGAGCTATAAATGTGTAACAGCAGAGTGGAGCCTCATCCATCTGTCTAGTCATTCATTCATTGTCTCACTCAGCGATCATTTACTGAGCACTGCTAGAAAGCCAGGAACTGGCTGAGGTATTAGGGACACAATGGTAGAAACAGATCTTCCCTGTGAAGGCCTTAGAGACAAGTGAATGATGAACAAACTATTGGAAAATAATATGACTTCTAAGATTAAATAAGAAAGGAAATGTATGGAAAGCTCAGCAACTTTAAGAAGACAACAAAAAGACAATTTAAATACTGTAAACAATAGTAGAGCAGAGGTGTTGAGACCCTCATTGCAAATAACAAAGTATAGTGCTGGTTTCTATTGCCATATACACTATTTTGTGGCTTCTCACATGGTGTGGCATAGGCAGATCTTTTAGCTAAAGGACCTGGCAAACCTGACTGAATGAAAACATTTTGTGGCAAAATGCACCCCCTGAACGTGAGAAATATAATTGGAAAAGAAAAAACATTTTTAGGTGAAGAAGCATACAGAAGAAACTGTCTAAATTAGTTTACAGTTCTAAGTTATATTAAATGAAGAGTTTATTTTATTAAGTATTTTCTAACAAATGCTTTGTAACTTTAAAAAAGTTTAAAATACACCTTCATGGGAGGCACTAGGCTTAGCTCTAGAACTGTTTGGGATATACGTACTTGATGAATGGTGTGGGGCATAACCTTTGAATAATAACAGGAAGATTTCTAGTTCTAGGAAATATGCTTCAGAATTCATGGTCCTGAGCTTCTTGCTAGGTAAGGAAAAGGCCCTCCTTAAATACTTCTTTCTGCTAACATCTAATCCTTGCCATTGGCCATTGGGATTATTTTCCTCATTTTATCCTTTGGTTCAGAGATGATTTCCTGTAGATAAATTAAAAATATAATTAGGATGACTAATACATTTTAGTTTTTACAATGGTAGGTCCATTAATTTACTAGGCTCATTCATTACTGCCTTGTATTATTAGTATTATTAGTGCCATTAGTATTATTCCTAGCATTGAAAAATTTTGTTTATTCATTCATTCATTCATTTATTTTATTATTAATCTACAATTACATGAAAAACATTATGTTTACTAGGCTCCCCCTTCACCAAGTCCCCCCCACAAACCCCATTACAGTCATTGTCTGTCAGCATAGCAAGATGCTGTAGAGTCACTCCTTGTCTTCTCTGTGTTGTACAGCCCTCCCTGTGCCCCCCGACATTATACATGCTAATCATATGAAAAATTTTATTTTAATAAGCAGCCAATTTATGTCTCTCATCCAATTTTTTTTTCTTTAGAATAAGAAAGTTTGTTTCCATTATATCTTTCTCATCTTATGGAAAAATATTCCAAGAAAAGTATAAGTCTATTTACATCTTTCAAGGACACAATTCTCTGTCTTATCAAACTACTCTTTTAAAAGCTATCAGGGGATGCAAAAAGCCTTCTTGCTGAACAGATGTTAAAAGGTATAATGCTAGGATGAGCCTTAGCATCCTTTCCTGAAAATTTATATCTTACCATTTCAATGTTGTTGTTCTTCAACCTAGTAGTCCCTAAAACAGGAAGTAAATGGGCATGTTCTGTCCTCTCCTTCCAGGAACAGATCACCTTCCTTCGGGTATTCTCCTGCCTGGCTTCCTCATTTCTCCCCCTGGCCCCTCTGAAGTTCAGACAGGCCTTTTCTCATCACCCTCTAGACACTCTGCCCCCCTGCTCGATCCCACGTGCTCCTTTCCATCCCACCTCTCTCTCTCTCTCTCTCTCTCTCTCTCTCTCTCTCTCTCTCTCTCTCTCTCTCTCTCATTACCCTGGGTTTTTTCCTGCGTGGTACCTTTTACTGTCTGACAGCTTCCTGATGATTTATTTCCTTATTTTCTGTCTCTCCCTAGGACTTACGTTCATGAGAGCAGATATCTGTTCACTGAATGAACAGGGCATCTTGGGACATAGAAGTTACCTTGAAAGAAATATGTGGTCAAGGAATCAATCACTAGTATAGATCACATTAAATAATATGCTTTGCTCTCTCTGAGACCCGGCTACTCACAGAAACCCAGATAAGAGAGATAATATTTAGAAAGGATACCTGTAGGGACAAGCTATGATACACTACTCCGGTTGGTCTAACATATTCTCAAAGTGAATTAGAATTTGGATTTTACTGTCTGACAGCTTCCTGATGATTTATTTCCTTATTTTCTGTCTCTCCCTAGGACTTACGTTCATGAGAGCAGATATCTGTTCACTGAATGAACAGGGCATCTTGGGACATAGAAGTTACCTTGAAAGAAATATGTGGTCAAGGAATCAATCACTAGTATAGATCACATTAAATAATATGCTTTGCTCTCTCTGAGACCCGGCTACTCACAGAAACCCAGATAAGAGAGATAATATTTAGAAAGGATACCTGTAGGGACAAGCTATGATACACTACTCCGGTTGGTCTAACATATTCTCAAAGTGAATTAGAATTTGGAATATCCTACCATATACATGTCATCTCAAATAACTGTGCATTGAATTGCCTTTTATGATTATGGCTTCAATCTTTAAATCAGGTTTTAGGAGAAACAACCATATAAATTGTATTTCCATATGGCTACGAAATTCTTGTGAACAATTCTTTTGTTTGACCCCCTTGATATGCCTAAATAATAAATTATTTCAGAATATGGGACAAAGAAGAGTTTTGCCTCTCTGAGAAATTTGTATGTTCTCTCCTCAAAGGAGACATATAATTTAATCACATTTCCTTGTTTTTCTTGGCAACCAGACAAGTAAGTGGCAGCTTTCATGATGAATTTTAACAACTGTATTAACTTTTATGGTTAAAGTACTTGTTTATCCCCTCATAATTCTGTCTGGACTTTTTCAAATTGATTTTATTCTGTTTTTCTTTCCAAGATATCTTCAGATCATATTTAAAAGGTAGTGAAAAATACTGAATTTAAATTGGAATGCTAAATATTAAATTTAATACTCAACCTTCAATACTCAATACTAAACTGAGTAATGGACATCATTGAGATTGTGAGAAGACAACTTTAGGAATATTTGAGATGCCTAAATTACTTTGAGTTTAGTTTCAAAGATGCATTAATGAAATGGTGGCCTGAAGGGATTAAAAGATACATTTTGAGAACAGAGCAATAAAGAATGATTTAATTCCAGCTAACAACATGGTTTTAAATTCTTCCTGTATCTAACAATGTGGAAAGGAAATATAAAGAGGAAAAATTGTTAGACCACCAAGAGTGGTGTATCATAGCTTGTATCATAGAAATCACACGATTTCTTTTCCACTCAAATCTTACGTACTAGATACAGAAATCTGACAAGCTTCCCATTTTCTGACAGCATCAGCCTCTTTATTCATGGATGTGAAGAAAAATACTATCTCTGTGGGGTTGCAGTGGAGACCAAATGAGATAACAAAAGGAAGGCATCTAGTGGAATTCCCGGTCTTGAAGTACTGGCAGAGGTTTCAGAAGATAGCCTCTTTCTTACCTGATGAGATCATGCTTAGCCTGGCCAGTGCAAAAGAGACATGTGCATATACATCGCACACACTGTAAACTTTTTTTGAATTAACGTTTTATTTTTGAACAGTTTTAAATTTACAGAAAATTGTGAAAATAGTATTAGAGTCCCCATTTATCCCATACCTGATTTCCTCTATTATAAATGTCTTACACAACTATGGTGTATGTTTGTAATTAAAAAATCCATATTGATACATCATTATTAACTAAAGTCCATAGTTGGCT